ACCCAAAATATCTGAAACCATATTTTCACAAAAAAAAATTGTACATGGGAGATGGAGAGACAGCTCCTTGTTTAGAAGCATTCATTACTCTTGCAGAGGACCCTTGTTTGGTTTCTGCTACCCACATGGTGGCTCACAACCATCCATAATTCCATTTCCAGGGGAAAGAACCTAGTCACAAAAGAACTAGTATTGCATGGTTCTATTTATATGAAGTGGCAGAATGAGTAACTCCATAGAGACTAAGAGCAGATTAGAGTTGGGGGAGGGTAGAAGGGTGACTGCTACCAAGCACATAGGTTTTTGAGGGAGGTGAATAAAATGTTTTAAAACAGATTGTGATAATGGACCCATAACGCAGGAAGTACTATTATAAAGCACTGAAATAAGCACTTTACATAGGTGAATTATATGGATTGTGAATCATGTCTCAATTAAGCTGTTGTTGACAAAATAGAACTCTGGTACTACTACATAATCTAAGTTGGCAACATTATCTATTGACTAACAGCACTTTAATGTTATAAATTTATCTGAGTGAGGCATTCTCAACTCAGATGTGTCTGGAAGACTTGCAGCAGTCAGTGTGAGAGAGAAGAGCTACATCATTCATGAGTTTGCAAACCATAATCTGTGCCCTCTCAGCTCCGTGATGAAAACACTAAATGCTACCTTTACTGAGTTAACATCTAAAACTTTAGAGTCTGGCAAGAAGCTTCCAGAAGCTTTGTGTTCTACTTCAGAGAGGGTTCCCCAAACGGTCAACAGATACACAAAATGTACCTTTCAAATACTCTGACTATGAGCAAAAGAGTTAACAGAACATTAATCCTTTCTGGCTTACTTGAAGTTATGTGAGTATTAGCGAATAAACTGGAAAATACTGGATATGCATAAAAATGTACAATTATATACCACAAAGGACAGCAAAGGGGGGTAATTGTGTAATAATTCACAAGTCAGTATTTAAAAGTAAATGCTGTGTTTAGCATAAGGATAATGAATTTCACATAACTTGATGAAGTGTTGACAGTGTAACTGAAGGATAGTGATTTTCTAACTAATTTTTTTGTTTACCAATGATCATTTGCATGTTACCTGACCACCCTCACTGAAGATGAGTGCTGATCTAGACATATACAAAAGATGAATAGATACTGATCCAGACAGTTTTTGGGAAAGGGAGAGTATAATTATTCTCAGTGTCTTAGAGAATATCAATAGGGCCAACAGAGGGGAAAGGACACAGATTAAGATAGGCTGTGTAGATAGCTCAGTGCATAGGGCCCTGGATCCAAATCCCAGTATTACAAGGCAGTACCATATATATATGGTATATATATTATATTATATTATATTATATTATATTATATTATATTATAGACAGACAGACGCAGATACAGACACACACATATACACTTTCATCCAGGATGGGGGCAAAATACTTTAGTAAATCTTCAATTTATGCAAGCTCTGTCACATGAGTTCCCCAACAACTGTTGATCCTTTCTCTAATCTCAAGGTAAAATATCCTGCTATGAGGCTATTCTTTCTACAGTTCCTTCTTGAGATCTATTCTGAAGAGAAGTACTGGGTTCATCTGATCTTCTACCTGGCACATTTTCATTAGAGAGATTCTTTAGGGGCATGCCACAGGTGCAATGAGGAAAACAAATCCTGAGAGGTAGAAAGAGTTTATATTTCAATGTCAAAGGCATGAAATGAGTGAAAAAAAATGAGAAATAGGCATAGGTAGCATTTGAGGAAGCTGCAGACAAAGAAAAAATGGCAGAGTTGGGGGCTGGGGAAAGATTTCCTTTTTATGCCCTTACAAACATCACAAAAGGTAATTTTTTGTTTGCTTTTCATTATTATTATTTTTCAGTATCCTGAGTTCAGATGTGATTATAGAGTCTCTTGCTTTGTTCCATCTAATCTGCATTCTCTTCCTTGCTTAAACAGAGCTCCAAATGAAAGCAATGATCATAATATCACCATAAATAATAATAATAAATTGTTCATGTTCAACCCAAGAATACCACCAAGAGTGGCCACTGTACGTGTACAAATCAGGAGATGAAAAAAAAATTGTTTTAAAAGGATTTATGTAAATCATATGAAAAAATTAAAACAGTGAGGGAAAAACAACAAAGAAAATTTAATGTGGCAGTAAATTCAATATATTATTTCCTAGTATCAGCTCAATGAATGAAACTCTGAAGTAAAATTAGCACTGCCAGGAAAGTACCCCAAACCAAATCTACAGTTGAAAATCTCTAAGCTGCATGGAAAACGTTTACTACTGACAATACCAAGCTGAGAGAGATAGCCTACACAAGAGGGTCCTGCCATGGCTGCATTCTGTGGTTACTTTCAAATGGGATGCCAACTGACTTGGCTATTTAACATCAGGTTCTGATGAGTGGCACTCAGGAAGAACTCACTGTATGTTTACTGACTATAGAGGACAGACACTCCTTCTCAAGTATATTGATTATGAAAGCTTAGAGGCAGAAATCATTGATCCTAAAGCAAAATTTTGCTTAAGAAAACATGCAACCCACTCCTTATATGACGGCTGGGAAAAATGCCTTGGTAACTAGGAAGGAGAATGTAGATGAAATGAGAAATGATAAAATCCCCTACTTAGAAAAAATAATAACAGGCAAAACTCACCAGTGCCAAAGCACTACTAAAATAATGCCTGTTGTGAATGCTAGAACAAAAAAGTAAAAAATGTTAATTTTCACTCTGCTTCTGAGTAATTTCTCAAAACCCCAATTCAAATTCTTGCATGGGCTCTTTAGGGATCTAATTTGTAAAGATCAATGTTTGCCACAGTATTGTGGTGCGAAGTTGTAGTCTTGTTTGATCTCCAAGAGAAAACAGAGCCATAAAATATCATCAGGCTTGTAAATATGACCTATTACTTTTATTTTTCCTTCTGTTCAAAACATATGCTAAACTAAGTAGAAAAAGAAAAAGAATAGGACTACCTTCAGCTTCTGCTTTCTGCTTGGTAGAAATGTTGCTGCTTCAGTTAAAAGTTAAAAAAGTTAAAAAAATCTTTCTCGTAGAACTAATAATGTTCATGATCACACACAATTGAAAAAAGGAGGAGCCCAAAAAGTTATGAGACGCTTCCAGAATTTTGAGGTTTGAAACTCATAATCAGCACACAATGCATGCCATCTAGAGGGAATGAGCTCTGGGCTTGCCTTTAAAAAGTCTTTGCCTTTCATCTAATTGTGCCTGCAAAGTCAGGGGGCAACAACAGAAAGTAATAAAGTATTTCCATTTTAGAGTTTGTTTGCATGCTGATTAGATCAGCTGATTAATTTTCAACAAAATGATTCAAATGACTTTTCTAGATCTTACAAATGGAGTTTGTCGACTCGACTCACTTAGACAGAACTTCATTGACTCTAGTAAATTCTCAGTAGTTGAGCTCAACAATTTAAAGAGTATCAATGAGGCTTCAAAGTATAATACTCATCCTAATAGAGAAGATATCCCTCCCATTAAGAACTGAGATAAAATCAGAATACTCACTATATAAATGCTAGGAAGTGTTTTTCTTCACCTGGTGGAAATTCAGGCTAAATTTTCAAAGCTACATTTTAAACAAACACAGAGAACTACTCCTTTCCTTCTTGTTAAGTGAGCAAGGTAGGATGGGGTATCCAGAAGACGGGATGGCTCAGGTGCCTAGCCTTAGCATCATGCTAAGTTAGGAAACACTTTAGACATTCCCACCAGTTTGTAGTAAAAGAGGGACTCTGTTCTTTAGTTGACAAGCCTAGAAATAATTAACCATACCAAGTAAATCTATTCTCATAAAATGAAGATATTTTATTCCACAGTGAAACTCATCACAAAAATAAACACTCTAACTTAACTGAAAAACTTTTAATGATATACAATGAATCTTTGAAAGTTCTGTAAGACAAACTTTAAAAACCAAATAGAATACAAACCTTGATAAGAAAAATATAATGAGGTACCTTCCTCCTCCATCCCCAGTATAAATTTCCAAGCACACTCAAGTCGCAGGGCATGGTTTACGGTTTTGTTTTGCTTGCAACACTTGTGAGTCAAAATCAAAACTGGTTAAATTATTCATTTAAGGTACATTCTTTTCTTTTAAGGTCGAATGCAAGCATGAGATAGAGACTTCTGATATGTCCTAATCTACACAGAAAATAAAACACTTTCCAAGGAGAAAACGCCCACACAATTACTCCCAACAGTCAACCAATGCTGAGAAATGCATGAGAGCAAAGTTTGCCCAGTGTTTACCACGAAAGCTACCCCATCTACCTGTTCTAAAAGTGCCCTGTTGAATTCTCTAAGCAGCCAGTTAAGTTGTTTCCAGGGAAGAAATTGCACTCTTTCACACCGGGGCCCTTAGCAACTAACTAGACGCGGCGGCTTTTCTTTCTCTGAGAATTTCTCTCTTTGAAGGATATGGGCCCGAAATTGGTTTTTGTTTTTGCTTTTTATTTTCCTTTTATTATGCCAAGACCGTGCACTGACAAGAGGGTGAATACTAACAGACCCAACTGGCCACGTTTTTGATCGTGTTTCTAGAACTTTGAGGAAAAAAGGGGGAAATAGTGAAGGACTTATGAGCGTCATTTCTGAAAATGGCTAATGCAATTGGATTTAAGTTTGGAAACATTAGTACTTGGAATATCAGAAAGATTTGAATGAGGGATTTAGACATTTGGGTGGTGGTGGGGGGAGTGTAGGGGAATCTCGAAGGGCACCAATTAGCACCCAGAAGCGCAACAAAGATTCCTGGACTTCGGTGGAACATTTCACAAGAGGACAGCCCCCAGGAGGGCTCCAGATGTAGGACAGTCCCTCCTATAGAACTGAACCGAGCTCTTTTAGAAGCCCTCGGAGTGTTCCCTTGGGCGGGATTGCCTAGATCCCCAAAACGCTAACTGCTGCTCTGTGCCCTTTGTCAAAAGTAGGCAATTTTAGGAGAAACTTACCGCATGTCCCCATAAGGTCCAGAGTAGTTCTCCATCCAAGGTCCCATCTCACTTTTGACGCAGCTGGAACTGGGATAGGGTACTCTGTTCACCACTCCAGTGGGGTACCACACTTCGGAGGCAGAGAAGTCACCCTCCTGACTCACCAGCCCCTGAGGGGGATGAGTGTAGCCATAGGGAACTACAGGCCCTGCCTCGCTCGGGCTGCTACTGCCACCCCCGCCGCCTGGCCCATATAATTGACCTTCTTCAGTTGTGAAGAGAGTGTGCCAGGAAGAAGAGGCGGTGGCTGGGGGCGATCCGGTGCTGGGTCCGACTGCACTCCCTCCGTGCAGGCTAGCCAAGTCTCCATAGCGGCATTGCGCCGCGGCCGCAGCAGCCCAGGCGCTGCCATAGTCCAGAGGGTTCTCCAGCTTGATGCGGGCGTGTGGATGGGTCGGGGGCTGGGGGTGCGGGGGCCCGGTCAGAGCCAGTGGAAAGTTGTAGTAGTCGCGATTCTGGTATGCTGCTGCCTCATCCACCACTCCGGATTTATACAGAGACAGAGTGGACGGGATCTCAAGTGTCCCAGAACTACCTGCTTCACCGCTGCCAGAACAGACCAAGCTCTCGCTTTCCAGCCCTCTGGCGTAACCTCCCTTGAAAGAGGAATACTCAGCAGTCTCTTCAGTGCCTTTGCCCGGGCCCTCGTCCAGGGGAAGACCTTTGCATTCGGCCAGTGGCGCACAAGGAGCAGGACGCACCACCGCGGGTGGACCTCCCAGGAGCGACGCGTACATGCAATCTCCCCGAAGCTGTTCCCCGGGACTCAGATGTTCCAATGCTTCCACACCCAGTCCCATGGACACAGACACTGCTTTACACAACTCCTTGGCACTGTCAGATATGGTCGAATTGCCCCCTAGGTAACTATCCTTGGAGGAAGAGGGAACCCCAGTGGCCTCCTTTGCTCTCACACTGGTGCCACTGCCTTCAGATATTACCTCCTGCTGCTGTTGCTGGTGCTGGTGCTGCTGCTGCTGCTGAAGAAGTTGCATGGTGCCGGCGTCGCTCAGGATGTCTTTAATGCCCGCGGAGCAGCTGCTTAAGCCTGGGAAAGTGGGGCCCAGCAGGGACAACGTGGATGGGGCAGCTGAGTCATCCTCATCTGGAGGAGCTGGTGGCTGCTGCAGCAGCCCCTTGCCAGGAGCTGTAGCAGTCCCAGGCTCTGGGAGGCAGCCGCTCTCAGGGTGGCCCTCGGAGGCTGAGTGCTGCTGTGAAGGTTGCTGTTCTTCCTCCAGGGCCAGGTAGCCTGTGGGGCCTCTGATGTGGGCTTGGGGAGAGCCATCCTGGCCAAGCTGTTGCCGCCTCCGCTGCTGGGGGCTAGTTTCTTGCTGCTGCTGCAAACAGGCGCCGGGAGGTGCTGTGCTTGCGGCTTCAGGGTGCCTGGGGCCCGGGTTCTGGATAGCTTCGCGCACGTTCTGGAACAGATTCTGGAAAGCTCCTCGATAGGTTTTAGATGGGGGCCGTGGGTAGACCCTTCCCGGTCCTAACTGCACCTCCATCCTTGAGCTTGCCTGTATCTTCCACTGTATTCCCTTATCCTGCCTCCTTGTTTCTTGCTCTAAAGAGTTCAACTGACTGATGATGTAGTAGCTGCAGCTAGCTGCCCACCTGCGGGAAGCTCCAGGGAAGAAAACTTGCAGGAGGAAAAAAAAAGCGCACAGATAGTCTCAAAGTATCTTGTAAAGCAAGGCAAGCGCTAGACAGGATCTGCCCAGCTAGTTCCACAGTCTGTCCCTAAATACTTGAAGAACAGATTAAAAGATGTTCAAAGCTTGACGAGAGGAAAGGAAAATCCTCTCCTTGCAGATTCAGTGTCCACTGAAGCAGGTGCAAATAAGATTTGGCCTCTTTTCTTTTTGGCTTCTTTTAGCTTTTGTTTTGCTTTCGACTACTGAAGCCCTGATTGCCTTTTCATCTTTTGATTTTTAGCTCCCAACACAGGGTAAGGGGCTGGCAGGAGGAGGTGCAGGGAGAGAACCTGGAATCCGGGGTTCTCCGGGAGTGCTGTTGCTCCTCAGTCTCTGTGCTCCCAAAAGCCTTCCTTGCAACAAGCTCGCCTGCTCTCAGCCAAAGGGAGTTACCTCTGTGCAAACTGGCTGGCAGAGCTGGGGGTGTAGGGGAGAGGGTTGGCCAGGAAGCCTGCCTAGTCAGCTCCTGGAGAGGGGACCCAGGAGGGGGTAGGGGGTAGAGGGGAGGAGGAAAAGGCAGCAGTAGTCCTACCCGACACTTTCTTCACTTCCTCTGAGTCCCCCGCAGCTTTTACAAACTTCACCGAAGAGGAAAGGGCAGCAGTGGGGCGGCGGCTTCGAAGCCGCCGCGCTGCAACAGGCGTCGGCCGTCAGTGAGCTGGGGCTGGTGTGGTGTGTCTCTTCAGCTTCCGTATGGCACTGGAGTGTCTAGCTCAGTCTTTTCCCGTCTGATGCCCTCTCAGCCTCCAGGTTAGCTCCGGACCCTCCGGTTCTCCCAGCAGGCTGGCTCCCAGGGACTCTGAGAGGGCGCTGAGAGGTGGAAAGCGAACGCAACAGTTTGTGAGTCGGTCCCGCCCCCGCGGGCCGGCCTCCCTATCTTCCCACCTCCTTTCTCTCTCCCCTCCCCTCCCCTTTCCTTTCTCCCCTCCTCTCACCGCAAGCCAGCGCAGGGTGGCTTTAAAGTACGAAGTGCTTGTGTAGTATGGGTGAAGGCGGGAGTGACTCGCTGTAGCCTCCAAAGACCCTCCTTCCCCAAATACCCTTGTTTTTCGGGAGTCAGGTTTTGGGCTTCAGACTAGAAGCTTTAACTTGGAGTGATTTTTAACAGACAAGTCTACCGACTCTGTAGAAGGCTAGCACAGGCCGGATTTCATTCCTTCCTAAACCCAATCCCAAAACAGATTCTTGTAGTTGGGAGAAGGAGGAAGGGGCACTAGAAGTACCAGCTACCAGTAGCAGTTAGGGGTTCTTTCCAGGGGCTACCCAGACAAGCAGAAGGGGGAGTCCCAACAAATTACAGAACAAAAGGCAGCCAAGCTAACACTTGCTGAAACCTTTGAGACTCCCCAGTAAGGTAGATAGGAATTCTTGACACTATGCCATTTGCTCTGGGAACTCTGGGCCTAAGGAACCAAAGGTCATTTCTGGTTTATTTACTGCCCTTCTTCCTATTGGGAATTGCCTGTAACTGACGCTGTTCACTTCTCTTCTCCAAACTTGCAAAGGCAAAGCAAAACAAAATGAAAATCATTCAGACAAGTGTGCAAACCCAAATGTCAGAAACACTTGCCCTGCACAAATGCACCTTTGGATTTGTCCAAAGTTTTGTTTGTATAAAGATGCCTTGAGATTTCCAAATTGTTTGCTCCTGAATACCATCCTACATAGAGAAATTGCTACGGAGGGTTGATAGACAGGCGGAAGTGAAGGTGATGAACACTCCAAATGTACAGGCAAGTGAGCAATAGAAAGGTAGAGGGTAGACCTACACAGGTTTTCTTATAGACCGGCTGTAGATCCAACCCCCTTTCCTTTGAAAATAGCGTCTAACTCTGGATCTGGACAAGGTCTCTGTCCCAGAAGGCACAGGGAGTTTTTTTTTTTTTTTTTTGAAACATTGTAATTGGCTTTTTTTTTATTTTTGAGTTTTGTTTGTTAAGATTTTATCTCTCTTTGGAGACAGTTTTGTTTGTTTGTTTAACAACAGAAAAGTCTTGAACTCATGATCCTTCTGATCCAGCTTCCCAAATCCTGGGGCTGGTGGACACCACAATCCCACTTGATATTTCCACATATATAAGGTTGTAGGGTGAGGGTAAGGCGCTATCCTTTGTACTGAGAGATTCCTCTTGGCCAGATGAGTTAATTCAAACCTCAGCAGGGAAAAGAAGGGTAGATGATCAACTCCATGGCCCCTGTGAACAAGTGAGGCAAGGGCACTGTCAGACCTTTTCTACGAACAGAATGGAAAGCCGCTCTCCATTCTTTTGCTGCATTAGCTGTACTCTCAGCAGCCCCACAGCTCTTGAGAAATAGTCGAAATAGTCGTAAAGTAATCTCTTAGGACAAAATGACCTGGGAGTGCTTCCACCGTCCCAGGTGAAAAATTATCTGCTGAGATTGTACCAGTTGAGGCCTTGTTGCCCGTACTGTATTGTTTTTTCTTTCTTACTCTCATAAATCACTCCTTAAGGCAAAAATCAAAGTTGTTAAAAATTTGTCAAACTGAAAAATGGCTCATTTTCAGTCGTGTACTGCGCTGAAATGCACAGGTATTTTGAAGACTTTATTTGGATAGTCATGACAATTTCATATCTACCAAAGATTTTTCACTATTTTAACTACAGGGAATTGAATCAACTGGCAAAATGATAGAATGAAATAAACATGGGTCTCAGAGCCAAGAGAACTCTTTGTTTACAGATTGACAGTGAAAGAGGCCACTAATCATACAACTGAACGTTCACAAAAGAAAAGAGGGACGTTTGTAGAAAAGAGGCCAGAAAAAGTAATGTGAGAAAAACTTACCTTCCAGTAAGTGAATGAGCAACAAACATTCGAACCCAGGAATGAAATAGTCTGAAGTTTATGTTGCTTCCACAGCATCGAAGTTGTCTTTACAGATTTCCTCACAGAAAATTGAAGCTAAAATATCTCCCCTCAGAAGGCTGTGTGAGAGTGAAAAGAGATACATTGTGTTGCAAATAGGGAAGAATTCTGAAAGTTTGAAAGATGTCCTTTTACACACACACACACACACACACACACACACACACACACACACTTATGGCTAAAAGCCAAAGGACTACGAAGGATGCCTGCATGTCTTTTGTTCCTTAGACTACACTCAACATGTCTCTTTTTACAAGGTCTTTCACTGGCCTAAAACTCTTTGCATAGGCTAAGCTGATTGGTCAATGAGTCTCAGAGATCTACTTGTCTCTGCCTCTGTGCTGTTGAGGTTCAAACTGTGCAGTGTCATTCCTTGGCTTTTTATTTCTATTTGTGCTAGGGGTCAAGCGCAAGCCCTCGTGCTTGCTACACAAGACCTTTCCAGATTGAGTTGTCTTCTCAATTTTTTTTTAAATTAACTTCTAAAGCAAAACAAACTCTCACCAATTATATTATCATGATGGGGAAAGTTATCTACTGTGATCATACTATGGACATTCCCATTATTTGAGCTTTGTACTCTGATCCCCAACTCAAATATTGGTTTACCAACTTTTCTTTTATGACCAAGAGACAACGACTGAAGAATATGATAGAAATTGGTACTTAAAAAATGTTTTCTCTCTTCTTTCATCCCACTCTTTTTTTCCCTTTGAAATAATTATAGCAGTTGACTAGAATTCATGGTGTTCTCCCAGATTCTTTGAATTCATAGTAAGTATCTCAAACAAATTCAGGGGGCTTTTAGAATGGAATTTTCCCTGGATGTTGCTCTGTAAAACTAGAACAAGACAACCTTTGGAATATGGCGATTATTTACATATTCTTATGAGTGTATGCTGATATATTTCACACATCTGTTTATTTTTCTTAATCTGACTGCTTCCAATACAGCTCAAGGCACTCTCATTCCCTACCTGAATATCTCTTCCTTTGAAAATCAGTCCTGCATTGATCAGGCAGATGGATCATATGTAGTTTTACACAACTAGAATTTACATGCAATGAACTGTATATATTTAAGGTTTTACAAATTGCTAACTTTTGAAACTTGTTAATACATCCATCTACAGATAAGAGTATCTCCATTCAAGACACCAAACTGATGTATATGCAGGCAATTTTGTGCTTATTTGTATTTCTCCCATGCTTCCCACTCAGGCAGTTGATGATTTTTTTTTCCTGTCAATGTAGATTAGTTTGCCTTTTCCCCCAGAAATTATATCAATGGAATCATAAAATATGTGCTTTTTAGTCTTTCATTTTTCACTAAGCATAATGTTTTGATATCCATCCAAACTCTTATATAGATTACTACATAATTCCTTCTTCTTTGTTGTTAAGTAGTTTTCCATTGTGTTCTTGTATTACAATTATTTATCTGCTCACTTTTCAGAGAGACATTTATTCTTTCAGAATGGGGCTATGGCTAGTAAATATACTATAACCATTAATACAAAAATCTTCATCTGCACATATGATTTAACTTCTCTTAAATAAATAATACTCAGAAAACAATTGGGTGACCCACAGGGCAGTTATATGTTTACTTTTGTAAAAAGATATCAAGTTCTTCTAAAATAGTTACATCAATTTTCATTTCAAAATTTCATCAACACTTAATATGGTCAACATGTACTTAATACTAACATTTTACTCAAATGAGTAAAGGAGTTTGTCTAAATTTGCTTTTATCTAATTAATAATTATAAATGAGGGTTTATATTTGCTTATGCTTAATTTGTTTATTTTTATTTTAATTAAAATATACTTATATAAGTTCTCACCTTTCCTTCCTCCAAATCCCCATCCCACCTCTACTCACTTTCAAATCTATAGCCTATTTCTTTATGATTGTT